AATATAATCACCATATAGACCCCACAACTGCTAATACTCTTCTTTTATATGAGTCCGGCTCCCAGGTCCTCATTAAAACCTGGAGAGATGAATCTCCTGGATGGCAACTCACACCCTTATGAAAAGGACCATACCGTGTCTTGCTTTCCACCCCTACAGCAATCAAAATACCCCAAATTTCCAGCTAAATACATAATTTCAGGATAAAACCCTACTGTCAAACTGAGCCAAAGGAAAAAGGAAACAAGAAAAGAACTAAATGGACCAGTGAGCCCTTGAAATACCTTAAGTTTCTTTTTTTAAAAAGAGTGAAACAAAACCACCACACGCCCTGGCCAGTTTGCTCAGTGGTTAGAGCATCGGCCTGCGGACCAGAGAGTCCCGGGTTCGGTTCCCGCTAAGGGCACATACTTTGGCTGCAGTTTGTCCCCACCCCAGTTGGGGTCATGTGGGTGGCAACCACTTGATGTGTCTCTCTCACATCGATGTTTCTCTCTCTCTCTTCCCTCCTTCTCTCCTGATCTGTCTGAAGATAAATGCAAAAATGTCCTCTGGTGAGGATAAAAAAACAAAAACAAAACCAAAACCACCACGCAAAATACATAATGTAATAAATGGAATTTGCTATGGCCGTTTTCTGTGTGTGTGTTTTTTAAACTAATTTTTATACTGTCTTCAAATACTCTGAGATGCCAAGGAGGGAACATTTCTGTCCTCAGTGGGTTTAAAGGTGGGACAAGTTAACATGTACATGCTTTTACTAATTGTTACTTACTGCTATCCATCTCTAGCTATAATTTGGCAGAATAATTCTCTCTTCCTAACAACTCAAGAAATATTATCACAAATTTCTAAACCCAATTATGGGGTATGTCACCAACAGCCCACTCCAGGAGCACAAAATGCTATATTAGGACAACCTGCTCATCCTACTAGTATCTTTCTAAAACGCCCTTATTGGGCTCCTTTATCTACCCCTAATACAGCTATTGAGGTTTCTATAATCCCAATTAACTCCACTCAGCATTGATACTTTGAACCCATAAGCATCATCCTCTACACTAATCTGTACACTAACTTTTCCTCCAACAAAGTTTTCAGTTTTACAAAAAAACTTCAGTTTTGCTAGTCGGGTTTAGCAAAAGGTCTTATAGATATATATGTGGCCCACAACAAAATGCTACCTTCTACTTAAAAATAAAACATAATTTCAAAAAACCCATATAATGAAAAAAGAAAAATCAATGCGGACCAAATGCCAGCAATTACACTAAAGGACCACTAATAAAATCATCAATATATAATAACACCACACAAGACCTAATGACAAATAAATATTTCCCTCTAAGATTAGGAACATGACAAAGGTGCCAACTCTCAGCAATTTTATTCAACAGAATATTGGAATTCCTAGCCAGAGCAATAAGACAAGAAAAGGAAATAAAAGACATCCACATTTGAAAGAAAGAAGTAAAATTGCCTCTGTTTGTTGATGACATGGTGTAATATATAGAGAGAAAATCCTAAAAATACTACCCCAAACTGTTAGACCTAATAAGCAAGTTCAGTAGTTTCAGGATATAAAAATCAACAACAACAAATAATCAGCTATAAAAAGCAGGAAATCTTGCCATTTATGACAACATGAATTGATATTTAGGGGCATTATGCTGAGTGAAATAGATCAGACAGAGACAAACAATATGATTCTCACTTACAGGTGGAATCTAAAAACACTGAACTCATAGAAACAAGAGGGTATGCCTTGTTATCTAATGGCTGGGAGATACGTTGGTCAGTCATAAAATGAGTAAGTTCTGGGGATTTAATGTACAGTATGGACTACAGTGAACATGGCTGTATTGTATACTTGAAAGTTGCTATGAGAGTAGAGGTGTAGTGTTCTCACCATAACAACAACCAAATGGGAATTATGTGAGTTAAAGGATGTGTTAACTAACCTAATTGTGGTAAGCCTTTTGCAATGTATTCATGTATTAAATCATTACATTGAGTGCTTTAAATTTTAGTGTTATGCATAAATGATATCTCAATAAAGTTGAAGAAAAAATTTTAAGAGGCAACATCATCTTTAAGAGTGACTATCCTAACTCTATCTACCATGCCTTACATTCTATACCTATCTTGCACTGGCTAAATCACTCTAGTCTGAATTCCACATCAACTCAAAACCAAACTCTTTATACTTACCACAGGGCCTTATGTTCCGAGACAAAACCCCACAAGGGGCATTGCTTTACAATGCCTCAACCCTGCAAAGACTTCAGGGTTCTAAACAATAGAATATATTACCCCCCAGCAAAAAAATATTCAAATCTTTTATTCTATACACACACACACACAAAGTGCAATTGGACTTCTATTTGCTGGAATTAGAGCCTTAATCAGCAGCCTCATAGGACTCACAAATAAAACAACTTATAAAGCCATAACTACAAAAAATATAACTACATCTATGACCGCCATCGCACATAAAATAGGAAACATTTCCAACTACTTTAAAAATCTTTAGACTCACTAGCCAAAATGACATTAAATAACCACATAGTGCTAGACTACTTACTGGTATCACAAAAAACGTTTGTGCTATGACAAACACCTTTTTTCAAAAAAAATTCTCACCTGAGGATATTTTTCCATTGATTTTCAGATAGAGCGGGAGGGAGGCAGGGAGAGAGAGAGAGAGAGAGAGAGAGAGAGAGAGAGAGAGAGAGAGAGAGAGACATTGATGTGAGAGAGACACACTGATTGGTTGCCGCCCGCATGACCCCAACCAGGGCCGGGGATCGAACCACAACCGAGGCACGTGCCCTTGACCGGAATCAAACTCGAGATTCTTTGGTCGTGGGCCGTCGCTTAACCACTGAGCCAAACTGGCCAGGGTGACAAACACCTTTTATTGCTTTCATATAAATACCACTGGCCAAATGAAGAGGAGCACTCAGAAAATAATAAAACGTACTAACTGGTTACAGGCCTTCAGCCAGCAGAGCATTAAGGACACTGTTTGGGACTCCATACGAAACATGAGCTTCTTGACCTGACCTAATTCCTCCCACTGCTAGGTACCTTGACAACAATCCTCCTGCTGCCATTTGGCCCACGCACACTTAACTGTCTCACTCGCTTTGTCTCCTCCAGAGCTCAGGCGGTGCAGCTTCGAATAATGGCACGCGAGGATTCCAACCTGCTCCCTCGATAATCAACTTCAGCAGCCCCTGAATCACACAGAAATTCAGTTCCGTCCTACCTAAACCTATCCCAAACAGTCAACGAGACACTGGGACCCATCAGTCTACACCTACTGAGAGCAGAAGGAAATGACAAAAGCCAGACCATCGACCTTCAACTTTCCAAAAGCTTTTGGGTCCCACTCTCTTGAGGGGGGATATTAGGATAAGTCGCTAGTTAGACGTGAGCTGGGGCAGGCAAAGGGAGAGAAAGGGAACAGGCTATCCATGTACCTTCTTGCACGTCTATAGGGCCCAAGGATAAACATTTTAAGCTTAACCATACCTGGACGTATGGCCATCAGATCTCCAGGTCAGTCTCAGAACGTTATTCAGCCACATAGGTCACCAGTTGCAGTCACCTAACAGGTACGAAGATGGTTAAGACAGAGGGAGGAGCTAAGGGGACCGAAGCAAAGACGACCAGGAAGACAACGTCCGTACAAACTGAGCTCTGTAACTGAGCAGGGCAAGCTCGCTCCGAGGTGCCCACTCAGCCCCTTCTGAGTGTACTTCCACACTGCCAATAAAATCCTACTTTACTGCACTTTGTCTCTTGATTAAAATCCTTCCCTCAAGAAGATAAGAACCAAGGCCTCCGTCATCTCGGTGGTAACTAGTGAGTCCCTGCCTCCTTTCTCTTACCTGTGCGCATGCGGACAATGGGTCAGTTCCTCAGCAGGGTCGGAGTCTACCCAAGCACTGAGTGGCGGCCAGTAGAGAGCACCTCCATTGGGTGTCCCGCCAGGCTGCTCAGGTGGCCTTGGCTTCTTCATGTCCCTCATGCCCAGAGTCACCAAGGCTCAGAGGTAGGAAGACATGCCCGAGGCCACACGCCAAGAAAGAGGGGGAGCTGAGACACCACCCAGTTTCGTCTGCCCCAGGGCTGGAGCTCTGTCTCCAGGTTACCTCCCTGGCCGCTGTGGAGACCCTCGGAATGGCTAGGAGCCTGAGGGATGATGCACAGATGGAGGGAGGTCAGGCATGGTTCAAGAGAGTAGCCGGGAAAAGTTAAAGAATACTATTTCTGAGTTCTGCTCTCTTGTCTGCCCTGCTCCTGGCCAACTGCCCTGCACCCAAGGGCACAAGGGGCCCTTTTCTGGGACATCGATGTGGCCTGGGGCCGAGGAGCTGGCCTAGAACCTGGGGGGTCTTCCCAGGGCTCAGCCTGCTCCCCTGGTAAGTGGGATGAGCAGCCTTCCCTGCAGGGGGCAGCTGAGTGGGCCTGGAGCACAGTGCTGGCCACATGAGAGGCCCGGACAAAACCATTCCTGAGTCCCCTTCCTGCTTCTCCCCATCCCCCATCCATTGCCCCCCCTTTCCTCAGATGCTAGGCTGTCTAAGCCAGAGAGCTCAGAGACAGCCAGCTGTCTCCCCTTCCAGTGCTGCTGACTCAGCTCTTTCCCTGGGGGCAGCAGAGTGGGGAGGGCGGGAGGGTGGCTCCCCCTGGCTCCTTCCCTCCTCGCCTGGCTCCGCGCCCTGGGAGTGCTGCCCGGGGCAGGGCCAGGAGGAGGGCACTGCCGGTGGGGACCTGACAGCTCTCCCAGCGCCATGGTCCCCCCATCTGCTTCCCTTTGGGCCCCCTTAGACCCTTAGATAGGCCTGGGGGTGCTCCAAGTGGACTCGGGAGGGAGACGCACAGAAGGAGCCGTTGGGAGTCTGGCCCTCCTCCCTCTTGGCTCCCATCTGCTGTGTGACCTTGAGCCAAAGGCTTGTCCTCCCTGGATCCCAGTGTCCCTGAGGGACACATTAAAGCATCAGATTAGATCATATCTAAGGGTCCTTCCAGGCCTGGACAGTCAGCTACATAGGCCTGAGGTGAGGTCTGGTCAAGGACACGACCCAGGGGCTGGTCCAGCCTCTACGCCTTGCTCACCGTGAGTGGGGACTGGGTGGCTTTAGGGCCCCAAACCCCAGGCTTCTCTGTACTCCTGCACCTCCTGAGGGCAATAACATCACCATGGCTCTCCTCCCAGGGCAGACCTGAGCCAGGTGCCGTGGTGGGAGCTGCAGCCCGGTGGGGAGCACACCCACTGTGTGGAGGTGCGGTTCCTCTTCTCCAGCTGCATGATCTGGGGCGAGTCCCCTCAGCCCCGTCCCCAGGCTGGGGTAGGATTCCCTGACACGATGGATGTGAAGACGCTTTGGGTACTGCAATCCCTGCGAAGAAGGTGCTGGCGGGCCAGGGGACACCGGAGCTCTGCACAGGTTCTCTGGCTGCAGAGGACCAGGGCTGCAGCCTGTACAACCCCACAGCCTAACCTGAGGCCTGCCCAGCCCAGGGGCACTGAGCTGCCCTCCCGTGAGCTTCGGCAGCATTTCCGCCAGGGCATTGCTCTAGAAGACCAGGAGGATGAATCAATCCTGGCAACATTCTAGGCGGAGGAGGAGGACTTTGGCATCCATTGGGGTGAGGGTTTTGACCTGGCTGCCCCCCTGACACCCCAGCAGGTAATAACCTCCACTCGGCAAACCTTGACTGAGCCTCCCTGTGACCAAGGGCTGGGGCTGGGGACTGGAGTTCACAGACACCTAGGGTGTCACTTACTAGTGGGTGATGGGACCCGATTGACCCTGAGGCTGCCGGGCTGGTGCCTGTGCCCTCTCCAAGCTTCAGCCCGAGCTGAGGCCCCTGGCAGCAGGATTACGCAGCGCTTCCCTTCCTGGGCAACCTACGGGGCTCCTCCCTGCCTCAGTTTTCCTGCTAGCCCCTCGGGGGCCTCAGATCTCTTCTGGCTCTGACTTTATCGGGCCTCTGGATCCAACAAAACCCCACCAAAGAGTTAAGCAAAGGAAATCTAGTGCTCCCATTATCTCGGCAGAAGCCAGCGTCTGGAGGGGAGGGAGCAGGGAGGAGGGGAAGTGGGAAGCCAGCTCAGCCCTCTCCCTCCGCCCTCCCTTCCTTTCGCCCTGCCTCCATCCCTTACTCCCTCCCTCCTCGGCTGGGCCTGGGGGTCTGGGCCAGCAACAAGTTATTCCTGCAGACATGGGCCAAGGAGCCAGAAGCTGACCCGAGCCCGGGGCTGAGCTGCTGGGTGAGGCTTCAGGACGCAGGGTGAGTGATGGAGTCCTGCCTTTCCCACGGCAGGGCTGCCGACCCACCAGGAGACGGGTCAGAGCCTGGAATTCCTCTCCTCCCTCTGCTTTCCTGAACACATCTCCGGCCCTGCACTACCCCTCTGATGCCCGCAGTCCCTCCAGCTCTCCCTTCCCCACTCCCTCCTGTGACTGAGACCTTGGCCCCCCGTGAAGGGCTGCCCTCCATGCCTCCTGGCTCCTGCCCACTCCTGGCTCGTGCCCACTGCTGCTGGGACACACGCCAATTCAACGCAGCAATGCCTGGCCCGTTCCCCACCCCAGAGAGATCCCAGCTCCCCAGTGGAGGCAGCAGGGACCCCTAGTCACCCCCAATGGCATGGTCCCTCACACTCCCTGCCTGGCACTCTCCATGGCCAGTTAGTGACCCAGGCTGTCGTTATTGTTACTTTTGTTAAAGGCTGTTTTGCTTCCTGCTTCCTGCCCCCAGTTCACATCTCAGAGCTGTGGGCTGTCATCTGGCCAGAGCCAACAGAGAGGTACCCAGACCCAGCTGGCCCTCTGCTCTGCCTGGCTCTGTCCTGGGCAGGCACTGGGAAGAGGTCATGTTGGGCAGAAGAAGGAATAAACTTTTTCTTAAGAGTCTTTTTCAAGTCAGGCAAGTTCCCAGCATTTAAATCCTCCCAAACCACCTGGGTGGGGGAGGGGGTCATCTCCTTGACCGTAGTCAAGGAGCAGGAAGTCCCGAGGGTTAAGCCACCAGCCCTGGGTCACAGCCCTGGGTCACAGCGTGTCAGCCAGCCTGGGATTTCCAGTCTGACTCCAAGGCCTCACCTTTCCCCCAGAGGTCACAAGCTGGCCAGGAAAGAGAGGGGATTTTTGCTTTTCTCAAAATCACTGGGACGTGTAATTTACAAATAAAAGTTGAGGGTGATCATCTTGAGCAGAGAGGACGTTGATCTATGTGGATTTGACCTGCCTTATGGAGCAGAACCAGGGGACTGGACCAGGGTGGGGAGACAGGAGCAGGGGAATGGCCACCTCCAGGAGGGGGTGATGGCTGGGGAGACCGCGGGCCCCCCCTTCTCCTGCTACCAGCCAGCCCCAGGGAGGGGGAGGTGTTCAGGGGAGGGCCTCTGCCCCTTTAAAACTTAGGTCTTACCACTGTGCTCAGCAGATAAGATGGCATTTAAAATAATAATTGTACCTTCTCTACATGTATTAACCACAAAAAAATATTTTTGAATTGTGCTAAATGTTAAAAGAGAACAAAAAGGAAATAAACAAAGAAACGCCAGAAGTGTAAAAAACCAGTCTAGTTTCAAAAGCCGAGTTTTTGATTCTGCGATAACTCGGCGCCAGCCCCCAAAGACTGCCACCACCTCAAAGGCTCTGTGCCCGGCTTCCTGCCCACCCAGCCCCGGCCTGGCTCCAGCGGCTGGTATCCAGGCTACTTCCTGCCCCTCTCCAGGAACTCTGGATGCCTTCTTTCTTGCCATGGCCAAGACAGAGACGCACAAACCCAGGACTTCTCTGATCCTTTTGAATTTTCCAGACTTCCCAGTCCTGCCCCTTAATTCCAATTTACCACCTTGGTAGCTGATTGGCAGGTCTACTGTGATTGACACCACCAGTTTCCAATGATTTAGCTCTCTGCTGAGGCTGCGGCAGGGACCGTGTGTAAAGATGTGTAGGTGGTTGACTGCACTAGGATGCCAAGAGGAGGTAGGCTGACGCCAGCCCGGCCAGCTCCACACTTCAGTGATGCATCTTTTGTTTGCAATTTGTCCCTCCCGAGGAGTGCCCTCTTCCACCTTCTGCAGGCCAGCGGTGGCCTGCAGCCCATGACTCAGAATACCTGCTCCTGAGCTCCACAGTGGAACAACCGTCACCACGCAGGACCCCGTGCATTTTCTCTGGTGGCAGTTGCTACCTGTCTGCTAGAATAGATGGACTTTCCTAGCTCCTTTGTCAGGACCATTGTGTACATCTTCCAAACTGTGGGCTCAGCCCCTCTCCCGAAGGGCAAGCCTGCAGAATCCTTTGTGTTTGTCCCGTGGGCCCTCTGATCTGCCCAAGGCAAGAAAGCAAGCCAGAGGGAACATTTTAGTCTCAGTGGTTATGACACAGGGACAGCTGGGGCATCTTCTTCACCCATCCCTGCAAAGGTCCCCAGGAGCCCCCTCTGCTCTTGGCTGTGGCTCTCTTAAAGGGGCTTCTTCCTTTGGGGACTTTGTGTGGCAGAGATTCCGGGGACTGGGTTCCTTCTGGGAGACCTCCAGGCCCTGCCCTGCCACAAGTCTCTGTGACCTTGAAGAACTTGCTTCCCTGTGTAGACCTCAGTGTTCTTGTCTGTTAAATGGACAGACTGAGTTATGTCAGGAACGCACTTGCTGTGGGTGGCTGCATTCCTGCGGGGCCTGGGCACGTGGAGGTAAGTTAAGTGCACTGTCTGTCCCGTCTTCCCAGGTCGCCATGGGGATAGCTGCCCCCGACCTTCTCTGGACAGTGCTGCTCCCTCTTGTGGTGTTTGGGGAAGCTGTGGCCTCCAAGCCCCCTGAGCATTGCCGATGGTGCTGTGACTCTGAGGACCCCCTGGCCCCTGCCGATGCTGCAGATGTGTCCCCGGCCTCCCCATCCACCTTTCCATATGTGTTGCCTGAGGTCAGGCCCTACATTAACATCACCATCCTGAAGGGTGAGTACCCATATGTGGCTCATGTTGGACTGGCCTGAGGGTCTCTCTTCCTGGGCCTGGGGAGGGGAGGTGGAGGAAGCAGAAGAAACCAGGACAGAAAATTGTTTCACACCCTTTCTTTCTTTCACACATTAATTGAGCACTTATTATGCGCCAGGACTGTTCTGAATTCTGGGGCCAGAGCACGAACAAATCAGACAGATACACCTACCTCCGTTGAGCTTCCATTATAGTGGGGGGCAGACAGCAAGAAACATACTACCCAAGTTAATGAGACAGAATGATCAATGTGATACATGCCGTAGAAATGACAAGGTGGGGCAGGGTAAGGGATATCGCAGCGCAGGTAAGGGGGCAGGTTGCCTATCAAACACGGTGGTCAGTTCTCACTGAAAAAATGAGGGAGAAACCATGTGTGTCTGGGGAAGAGCATTCCAGGCAGAGGGAACAGTAGGTTCAAAGGCCCTGGGGTAGCATTGGGCCTGGGGTTTTTAAGGAGCAGGAACAAGGGAGGGAGCTGAAGTTGGAGATGAAACAGGGCCCAGATCAGACTTGGGGTCTCCTCTGAGTGAGATGGGGAGCAGCAGAGGATTGAGCAGAGGGAGTGACCTGATCTGACTTAGGTTTCAAATGGATCGCTCTAGAGTCCCGTGAAGACGAGATGGCAGGGAACAAGGGTAGAAGCAGGGGGACCTGTGGAGGGCCACTGGGGCCATGCAGGTGAATGAGGGCTCCTTATCCTGAAGGAAGCCACCTCTGCTGCTGGGGACTGTGCTCCCTGGGGCTGGGCTCAGGCCCTCGGCACCCTTAACCTCCATCTTTGCTCTCGACTACCCCGAGGCTGGTACTTTGTCATTCCTTCCACTTTGCTGGTGGGGAAACAGCCTCAGAGAGGGGAGGAACTCTCCTGGGGCACACAGTTGTCAGGGACAGGGTTGGGATCTGTCCCTGGGGTCCTCACAGGGCCACTCCACCCCACAGCCAGGTGTGGGCTGGTGTCTGAGGCCTTCCTGTCTTCGGATTTTCTGGGTGAGGACACCCCCAGTTCCCCACCACCTAATACAGTACAGCTTCAAGGTTCCCAGAGCTCTCTGTGTCGGGTTGAGAAGGGCCGGGATGCGGACAGGGCTTTCCCCACACTAGTCCCCCTGCAAACTCCGTGTCCCTGCTCCTGGGCCAGGCTTGCCGCCTGCCGGGGGTGGCAGCTGCTCTCACAGAAGGCGCCTGCCGGGCATCAGGAGTCCCAGGTCCCAGCCCCAGGTCTTCAGCTCCCTTGCTGTGTGGGTCAGGCTGATCCTGCCCTGGGCTTGCTGCCTCATTTGTAAACAGAAGGCAACCCCCTCCTATAACCACCTTTCACCTCCTCCCTCTGGACTGGGGGGAGCCAGTGCTCTGCAAACTGTCAAGTACAGTGCGCATGATGAGCAGTTAGTTCTCCAGTGAGGCCTTTGAGCCTGACCTCCGCAGAACTTAGACTCTCTCCGGCCTTCTCTCTAGGCTCCTCCCCCTCTCTCCAGGCCCCTCCCCCTCTCTCCAGGCTCCTCCCCCTCTCTCCAGGCCCCTCCCCCTCCCCAGGCTCCTCCCCTCTCTCCAGGCTCCTCCCTCTCTCTCCAGGCTCCTCCCACTCCTCTCCAGGCTCCTCCCCTCTCCAGGCTCCTACCCCCTCTCTCCAGGCTTCTCCCCCACTCTCTTCAGGCTTCTCCCCCCTCTTCTCTCCAGGCTTCTCCCCCCTTCTCTCCAGGCTTCTCCCCCTTCTCTCCAGGCTTCTCCCCTCCTCTCTCCAGGCTTCTCCCCACTTCTCTCCAGGCTTCTCCCCCCCTTCTCTCCAGGCTTCTCCCCCTTCTCTCCAGGCTTCTCTCCCCTTCTCTCCAGGCTTCTCCCCCTCTCTCCAGGCTTCTCCCCCTCTCTCCAGGCTTCTCCCCCCTTCTCTCCAGGCGTCTCCTCCAAGGGCCCTTCCTCCACTCTTTCCAGTATTGCTATGGCCATAGGCGGACTTCCAGGAAAACACGGGGTCATGAAGTTCACTGAGAGGGGTGTGGTTTATGGTGCAATTTCAGGTTCCACAACAGCAGGGAAATGTTTGGGATTAGTTCCCTCAAGACATAGGTGGCTACTTGCTTCTCGTGTTCAAGGTCAGCCTGGAACAAGGACTGGCCAGAGGTGTGTCTGCCTGGGGGTCACGTTAGCCGCACCCCAGGGCAGGTGGGGATGGCCGAGCAGCGCTGGGGGGACCCTCCTGCTTCGTATTTGCAGTTTGCAGAGGGTTTTCCAGCCAGCATTTGGTTGAGGTCTCCCTGTGAGGTGGGCATGATCCTTTCTCAAGATACAGACAACACAACCAAGACCCCAGCCATGAGATGGCCCAGGTCACAGAGTGAGGTGTAATGCCAGCCAAGGGCTGCTTAGCTCCTAACCAGGCATTTCCCTCCCGGCGGGCAGACGTATTTCCCTTGGTTCCTTCTCTGGGAGAGAAATGCAAAGTGCACCCTGCCACTCCAGCAGCGTCTCTGGGGTGGGGGTGCGGTGGGGGGCCGACTCCCCAGAGCCCACAGACCTTCGCTGTAGGGAGGGAGCAGGATGGGCGGGTTGGAGACAGAGGAGTTGGGGTCCTGCCTCTCCTGCTCCTGAGCTGCATGACACCCTGGGTGAGTCACTCAGCCGCTCTATGAGGGGAAACGGTCACGGCGTCTCCTTTAGAGGGGCGTTCGGACAGGTGATGGCTGGCGTGACACAGGTGCTCAACGGACGCTGGCTTCCTCTCGGGGCCGGGGCAGCGCCCTCGGCAGACAAGTGCAGGGCATCCCCTTCGTTCAGGCCCCGGTGCTCTGGCGCCCGCTCTGACTTCTCCCTTGTTCCCACAGGTGACAAAGGGGACCGAGGCCTGCTGGGCACACCTGGGAAGCAGGGCAGGGAAGGTCCCCTGGGAGAGCGAGGCCCGCAGGGCGCCAAGGGCGACAAGGGGCAGGCGGGCAGCCCCGGCAGCCCCTGCCAGACTCGCTTCTCGGCCTTCTCCGTGGGCCGGAAGGCGGCCCTGCACAGCAGCGAGGGCTTCCAGCCCCTGCTCTTTGACACGGTCTTCGTCAACCCGGACGGGCACTTCGACCTGGCCGCCGGCCACTTTGTCGCCCCCCTGGGCGGCGTCTACTTCTTCAGCCTCAATGTGCACAGCTGGAACTTCAAGGAGACCTACGTGCACGTGGTGCACAACGAGGAGGCGGCCGCCATCCTGTACGCGCAGCCCAGCGACCGCAGCATCATGCAGAGCCAGAGCGTGATGCTGGCGCTGGCGCCCGGCGACCGCGTCTGGGCTCGGCTCTTCAAGCGCGAGCGGGAGAACGCCATCTACAGCGACGACGTCGACACCTATATCACCTTCAGCGGCCACCTCATCAAGCCCGAGGAGGATTAGTGCCTCCGCTCCGTGCGGGGGTCTCCTCCCCTGCAGGGCCTCAGTGTGCACCTCGACAGGGGGCCCCGTGGGGCCGGGCACTGGGCAGCCTCCTCTCCTGTCCTTCCCTCCCACTGTTCTGCCACTGTCCTCTCTGGGACATCTTTTAAGAAGCTGTGTAATCTAAGTATTCTAGGACTTTCCCAACCTTTACTCAGCACTTCTCAAACCTGACTGTGCACAAGCATCCCCTGGGGACCGTGGTCCAGTGCAGGTTCCGCTCAGGCAGGCGCGGTGCGGGCCCAGGACTCTGCACCTGACCACGTTCTCGGGTGACGTGCGCTGCTGGTCTCTGGGCCCCACGAGAGTAACTGGATTCGGAAACTTTCACAACACTCTAGTACTCCCTGAACATTCTGGAATCCTCTAAATATTTTGGAATCGTCCAAACATCCTGAAACATTCTCACATGCCACCCTCCCTCGCTCCCTCACTCGGGTCTGCACCCCAGCCGGGGCGGCCGCTCCCTGGGTCACCCATGAGGGCTCACCGAGGGCTCCCTCTGGCCAGGCCCGGGGAACGCTGGCGAGTCAGACACAGACCCTGCCCCTGTGAGGACGAGGACACAGTCCAGCCAGGCTGGGGAGACAGGATTCCGAGACCTGGCCTAGAGAAATCACGGTGCTTTTGTCACAGCTGTCTGGGTTCGGGGCATTTCGACGTTGTGGCCCCTCATCACCCACGGCTCCTCGAAGCTGGTAGGAGAGGGTCCCCGAGGTGGTGGGGTCGCATTCCGCCTACTCTCATTCCTGCTCAATGCCTGTCGTTAAAGCAACCACCCGAAGGGCCTTGGTCAGGGCAAGGGCACTGTGAGGGGAAGACCCAGGAGCTTGGAGGAATTTTGGGGTGAAGGAGCCTCTGCAGAAGGGATCCGTAGCTCCCCATACAGCTGGGATGGTCCCCTGCGAGGCCCCTATCCCCACAGCACCCCTCCCTGCCCCTCCTGGGGCTCAGGCAGGACTTTGCTCAGCCCTTCTGCCACCAGCACCTGGGCCTCAGGCCCCCAAGCTTCCAGCCACGGTCAGACATTGACACCTGTCCCCGGTGCTCTCTGACCCTCCTCGCCCCTCCTACCAGCTCGGTGTCCCTCGCTTTTTAAGCTTTAAGGTGCTGAAGACCCGGCAGAGTCTCCTCGGGTCTGGTGCTGCCTTTAGACATGACAGGGCGGAAGGCTCCAGGATTTAGACCCCCCAGCAGGTCTGGGGAACTGAAGTGGTAACATTCCGGGTCAGTCAGGGAGAACTCTGAGCCATGAGGCCCAGACAAGCCCCGGCCAAGTAAGAGACATCGGCTTTCCGTCCCTTCTCCCACTCCCGGGGTGGGCCAGCCTGGTGGCCCCCAGCCTTCCTCACCCCCACGCAGGTGGCCTGACCCCCTGAGGGAGGTGGCCTCCAGCCATCGGTGCTTCTGCAGATCCCAGGAAGAGGCCCGTGGTGGTCTCTGGTGCTCATTACAGCCGAGGGGGCCACCAGGGCGTGGCGGCGAGAAGGCTCGTACTGACAGCCACTCCCAGCCACTGCACCCTGCCCTGCTGTCCGGCGTGATTAAAGGTGACACATTTCTTGGTGATTCAGCCTGGTTCTTTCTGCTGGGTGCCCTTTGCCCACCTTGAGAGGGCAGCCAGTCCTCGGTCCCCTGGGGCCCAGCTCCAGAGCTCCACTCTGCGGGCTCCCCACCCACCAAGAAGCTAGCCCCCTTGGTCACTCAGCCGGGGTGCTGTGGAGTGCGTGGGACCAGCTCAGAGTCTGCTGTGCGACACACTGACTGTGGCCTCAGGTGAGTCCCCACTGCTCTGAGCCTGTTTCCTTGTCTGAGAAATGGGGATGATGATAATCTACCTCAGGGGGTGGCACCTCCTGTGTGCTGGGTGCCCCGCTCGCACAGGCTGCAGTGGGCCCACAGCCCCTCGCTTCCCTGGGGGACAGCTGCGGAGCTTGCGCTGGGTGCCGAGAGCCCCGGCGCTCCGCTGGGGATGCTGCCTGGTGCCTTAGTGACGTTTACGAGAGGACCGCTGGACCCTGTCTGGAGGAAGACGCACACCACGTTGTGCAGCGGCCTGACTTTCTAAGCTGGAACGTGGCTGCTGCATGACGGGCCGAAGCCGTCCACCCTGACCCCCTGCGCTGCCATGGGTGGCCATCGCCTGCTTTGAGGGCTCTCTGGGCACCATGTGGAAGAATATTCTATAAAGAAGGAACCAGCATAACTGCCCCAGGATGCAGCCGAGCCCAGCGGCCGGCCCAGTCGGGGTAACACGAGTCTATTTCCTCGGAGCCCACCTGGCTACTGAGGGAGGCTTCCCGTCACCCCTGGACCCCTTGCAGTTCTCCCCCAGGCAGGTCAGGGCTCCCCAGGGGGTGACCCCATGGCATGCTTTGGGCCCTGGCTGTTTGTGCATCACCGGCCTGACCAGACCTTGGCGGTGAGGGTTGCCCCCAGCGCCGGACAGGAGCCTTTGCTCATGGGCGTCACGCAGAGGGGGGTTTGCTGTTTGCCGAGACAGCCAAGCTTTGGACTCTTCTTGCCAGACACCTGCAGGAGAATCCAAGTTTGTCCTGTGCAGCCAGGCCAAAGGCCCCGGGTATTTCCAGGCCACGTTAGTTCAGGGCTCCGAGACGGGCAGTCCCCTCCCTTGTCTCCTCTGACCCACTGCAAACACGTCTATGCCGGGCAGAGGCAGCCTTTGGGCTGACCGTCTGGGCCGCTTTTACCCCCGGATCCCAGTTCCTGACTTGGTGGCATAGCCTCCCTGGGTGGTAAGAACCACCAGGGCTTTGTGGTGGAGACTCTCCCATTGGTCAGGTCTTGATGGGGGCTGGGAAAGAACCCTGGAAAACTAGAGGCCCCCAAACCTGCTGCCAGGTCTGTAGGGACAGCGTCCCCTGGGGAGCTGGTGAAATGCCCGTATGGTCACCTCCCCAAACTGGGGCCATCCCTTCAGTTACATAAATGATATTTTCCCTCTGAAATGTTAGACAACAAGGAAGGGAAGGGGCAGGAGGGCCAGGAGGAGAAGCAGCCCATGACATGGGAGCCGGAACACCTCACCCTGCTGGTTTGCCATTGCCTGGTTGGGTGGCCTGGGGAAAATGCAGGAAACATTGAAAGGAAAGGGTGACCAGACAGTTATCTGAGTTGAAACCAGGGGCAGAGCTGGTACAGTGTCCCTGGTGGCCTGCTTCCGGGATGGTTGGGCTAGATTTGTTCCATGGGCTTGGGTAGGGTGTGTGGAAGTCCTCAGCCTTCCTCAGACGGTCCATACAGAAACTCCTTCCTCTGCAACGTGGGAGAGCAGGGAAGAGAGAATTCTGAAGAGGTTAATCAGGGAAAGGCTTCTTGGTGGTGCGGACATTTAAGCAGGGCCTTGGAGGATGAATAGGAGTTTGGATGGCACATGTTATGTGCAAAGGAAACAGTGGGACAGTGCTGTCTATACTCTGGACAGTGGGAAAGATAGTATGCTAGATAAATGTTTGGAAAGAAGGCAGGAGAGAGAGAGAGAGAGAGAGAGAGAGAGAGAGAGAGAGAGAGAGAGGAGATTGGAAAAGTAGGGGCCAAGCTGTGAAAGGCCTTAAATATCAGGCTAAGTCTGGACTTGACCTCTCAGGTGCTGGGGAGCTGTGGAGGGTTCTGAGCAGTAGTTTCTGGTTAGGGCTGATTTAAGAGGCACATGACTGGTGGCCAGGTGGGGCATGGATTACAGAGGGTGAGGCTGGGGGCACTAGGGGGCTGTGCCGTAGTCTAAGGGAGGACACGGAACAATAGTTGGAAACTGGGTGAACTGTGAATGTCATCTTGGGGGAGGGGGTCATGTGCCCACTGGACATTTATTTATTTATTTTGTTTTTGGTACGTGCCCTTAGCGGGAACCGAACCTGGGACTCTCTGGTCCGCAGGCCGATGCTTCAACCGCTGAGCCAAACTGGCCAGGGCCCCACTGGACTTTTAAGGAGGCAAAAGGCTTATTAACGAAGCGGTGGGAAGAGGTAGCCAGGTAGGGGACCCACTTGGGCAAAGGGTCTGCTCCTATCAGACTTCTCTCTGATAGTGGGAGGAGGGCAGGCCCGGGTGCAGGAGGTGGGCTCCTGGGCCAGCTCTGCCAGGTATCACCTGACTGGCTTAAGGACTGGAGGGTGCTGGGTGATGCGTCTAGCCTCTCGGGACCCCATCACTATCTTTATCTGTTGCATCGGATTTAAAACGTGTCCTCTTCTGCCCCATTGAAGCCTTCATGGATATTTGAGGCTATGTGCATGACTGTATTTTCAGAACCCCAAATTACACCCTGTAGACTAACCATAGGTCAGAAAATGTGAAAAATACAGCTGATTGTCCTGGAAAATTTCAGGGCCTGTGACAGGGCCTTGAAAATGTTCAGAGCGGCTCCCATTTCAGTGTGTGGGCTCTGGAGCCAGGCCAGGGGTTCTGATCCTGTGTCTGCATTTCCTTAAAACAGCTCCTGGCTTAGGGCAGATGACACTGGCTTCTTGGACGTGTGACCTGGGCTTGTCACTTCCTCTCTGTTTTGTTGAGTGGGGACCAGGTGTGCTGGCGTCTTGTGGCGCTGGTGGCGGCGGGGAGGGGGTGCTGGGGAGCGCGGCTGGGGAGGAATGGCTGCTGGGCGGTGGGAGGGGAGCCCCGGAGGTGAAACCCTGCCCGCTCTCTTCCTCGCCTCCCGCCAGCGCCCGGCTCCTCCCAGTAGCCACACACTGCCACGTGGACCTCTGGCGGAGGGGAAAACAGGCAGAAACTCAACAGGACCAGAAACAGATGGCGAGAGCATGATGGGTGGGGCCAAGTCGGGGAGAGCCGGGGCCAGCAGGCGGCCTGGACGCCAGGGAGGAAGAAGGGATTTTCATGACACGAGTCTAGAGGAGCAGGGGCCAAATCCGTATGGCTGGGAGCCCCTGGCCTGCAGGCCCAGCGCGACAGGAGGCTGGGTGTCTGGGACACATCGAGGTTGTAGGGCAAGGTCAGGAGGGGGTGTGAGGCTGCAGCCTGGAGGTGGTGCTGTGGGCTGGAAGAAGGAGAAATTGGGGTCCGGGCACATGGAGGAAACGGGACCCTCTGCAGGGTGAGGGAGGGGTGCGGGGCCGACCTTCATCTGGCTGACTGCCTTTCACCACTGGAGGTAATGAACGAATTGATGTCACAAACTCAGACGTACCTGAAACAGAGCTTATTTTATGTCTCCATGGCTAAACTTAATTTCCAATAGGTACTTCGCTTCTGCTGAAGTCAAAGAAATGTGCTTTTGGACAGCCGGGTCCCTCTCTCACCACACTTCTGGGGGGCGGGCGCTGCATCGAAGTGCCCCTCCCTGGCAGCGGGGAGGGGTCCCCTGGCACTGCATGTTCACGTGGCATCTACTGAGGGTGTCAATGTCCCATCTGCTCTGGACTCCTGATTCCACCCACATGCCAGTCTCCTGGGCCCTCATCCCTCTTGGGGCATCCCGGTCCTCTCTGCACAAGCACTTACAAAGTCCGCGTCCCTCGGAGAGCTGTCTGAGCCCATGCCCATTGCCTGGATGCACCGCATGGCATCCACCTTGAGGCCTCAGCTGCCTCCCTGGGGTTCTGCCTGGGAGAGAGGATGGCCCCTCGGAATCTCAGACGTCCTAAACCGGCTGGGGGTCTTCTCTGCACGGTCTCTACCAGGCTCAGCTGGGTTGGAGGGGCCAGGATCTACTCTGGCCAGGAGCCCCAACACTGATACTCCTTGCTTTCTCCCTGCTCCTTCCGCCGGGGCCATCTTGGGGGGGTGGGGGGAGGAGACTGCATACTTGACACATGCTCTCCCGGAGAGTTTGGCTTGGCACACAGGCTCTCTCTTTCTTATTTTGGAACTTAAGACCCTGGAAAAGACTCCCTTCCTCCTCTGCTTCTTGCTACATATCCCTTCGGTATTGGTTAGGGTGCTTTTGGGTGCAAGGAACACGTATCGGTCCCAAGCAGCGTGCAGGAAAACGACCCTGTGCAAGGTGGGCCGCCCCAGGGCTGGTTCACGCGGCACCGCTAAGGACCTGGGTTTGTCCTGTTGCCGCTCGGCACACTTCCTGAAACGGTTTTGCTCTTAGACCAGCCCCCCCAGGGCCACAGGATGACGGCCACAGGACCGCTGTCCTGGGCCAGGTGTCACAGCAAGACGAGGGCCAGTGAGAGCAGAAGCAGAATCTTTTATCCAGCACCTTCTACGCACTTTTCACTGGCCAGAACTGCGCACGTGGCCACCCGCGACCCAGTCTCTGGGAAGGAGAACAGGATTATGGGAAGCAAGGTTTACTCTTGGACCCCCAAGGTCAGGCTGAACCTTCAAGCAAGGTC